GAGGAGCTTGTAGAGCTTCCAGAAAAATGTCTTCCATTCTTTTCCCTGTTATTCTGGGGGCTGTGTGGCGCATATAGGGGACTTTGCAGGGCCACGGCATGCAGTGGACTGGGATAGCGATACACTTCCATGCCCTGGTGACCTGGAAGGTCAGAACGGTAAGTGGGTTGCAGGACCACTTTGGGTTGAAGTATGTCTGAAACATCTGGCCAGTGTGAGTCTGGATACAGATCCGCTACAGATCGGAAACCATCCTCAGGAATCGCCTCATCGGAGAAATGGGATTGAACTGTTCTATGCTCTTGCAATAAAATGGGTCGGCACCTTAGAGTTTGCTCACCTGTTAAACATTCTCTCTCTCCAAAAGAGTTGTATTTCAAGGAGGCCAAAGAGGTGGAGAGGGAGCGGGTATTATCGTCACTGTCGCAGGGGGTAAAAACATCCCCAAAGTTGCTGTCGCAAAAACCTGAGCTTGCTCTTGACCGACTTTCCATGTGTGAGTGAAGTTCTTGGTGATGCCAGCTTCTTTCCGTCAGGCACTGATGATGAAGCAGGTCCTCAGATGAGTGACTGGAACATGACCAAAGTTCTCTGGATTTTCCAATATCATGAATGGCCTCCTCAGAAAAACTGCGCCTGAGCTTTAGTTGGAATGAGTCTTTATCCACCCAGTAATGATGCTGTCCCTGCTGGATATTTGTTGAAGTTGAATCTTCAGGATGGGTTTCAGTTTTTTCCAGGGCAGTCTCCACCATTGCTTTATGTCTGACTCTCAGGACCTCCAACTCCAGCAGCCCTGCCAAAGTAGCACGAAATCGCTCTCTAATACGTTTCCTCCCTGTGCTGGTCCATGGCGCCACTTCAGGCTCTTCCCTGTGCACAGCGGTTGATGACATCCTGGCTGGAGGCTTGAAGTCAGGCTTCCTTTCACAGTGGAGGTCTTTATAGGAAAGTCACCCCATATCAATGCAAATACATTGATAAGATTTTCTCTAACCTTTGACCTTAGGCGAAGAATATGTTCAAGATAAAACTTAATTCTATCAATGTGAGATTAAACTTCAGAAGTTAACAACGTTAACATTTGGAAGATCATATCACTGCTAGTGATAGCTGTGGCTCTTTGTTAATATTTTGAATGTCATCATAAGCATGCAAGAACTTCCGCTGTCCATGATTATGTAAAATTAATGTAATATTTCATTTTGTTACACCTTTAAAGAGGCCAAACTGGAAGGCCAACTTAAAAGCATATAACCAAAAAACACATTTTGATTAATCACATTTTTATATATGTTTTATATCTTTCAGCCTAAAATTAAATCATTCACCTTTGAAAATGGCCTCTGTAATCATATTCCTAAAGATTAAAGTAATGGTTCTTTCACCATTTCCTGATGCTTTTAAATATGAAAAAACAAGGTGCGCTGTAGTTTTTTTTACTAATATTATTATTAGAAAATATGGAATGCAGTTACAGTTCTACAATTTTAAATGTAAGCAATCTCTTTATTCATGCAAATACACTCCATGGATTGTTACTACTGTAATGATTAACAGTTTAATCATCATTGCAATACATTCCCTCTACTTTATCAAACACCACCAGCTTGTTGATGAATCGTATTTTAACTCTTACACTTGCTCCAACCACAATTGAAAAAACAAGACACTCAATTTCTGTGTATCTTTATTTACAAGCAGATATCGAAACATGTAATCCTGCATTTGAAGATGTGACAGCTTATACAGGACCTTGATACACCCATCAAACATATTTCAAGACAGCGCTTCATTCATCAGCATCAGATTCTTCATCATCTTGACTGATCTGGAAGTAGCGCAGCTCATAGCTTTCCTTATCCGACGCCACCACCCTCAGCCAGTCTCGCAGGTTGTTCTTCTTCAAGTACTTCTTTGTGAGGTACTTAAGATACCTGATGAACATGGGATTGTTAGTATATAAACAAAACTGATTAAAAAACACTAATAAACAACAGAATCTGTTAGCATAACAAATCTCACCTTTTAGAGAACTGCTTCTCTGAGGTGACGTTGATCTTGTTCTTCTGACGCACAATTTGCACTACATTTCCCAGGTTGCCTGTTTTGCCATTAACCTTCACCTTCTCTTTCAGAAATGTTTCCTGTTAGTAATAAAACAGCATGAGCACTAGGGAAGAGAACCCTAGGCACTTAACTAGGGAAGGGAACCCTAGTTATGACACAGCATTAGTGATGCGACTACCTGAACACAATTTATGACATTTATAATTTTATTTTAATTTCAATATGCAAGGTTAAAGAATAAGTATTTTTTTTAAAACGATGTATTTGGATCAGAAATTAATAGATTGAATGCTAGTTGAGATTAATAGAAATAAATGTAATTGAAATGTACAGATCTCTCAGACAAAAACAACTAAAATATTAATTTGATCACCTAGCCAATAAAACGTTGAGTATAACAATTATCCATGTCTGGAATTTAGAAATGAAAATTTCCTGATATTTTCAAGTTTTCTATGGGTATAAGAACCCTGACAATCAACAGAAGTCGTGTTTTTATCATACAAAGTATGGTTAGTCATTTTTTATACAACTTACAAAGTTGGCAGAGTCGAGAATCCCATCCTCCACAGGGTGAGTACAGTCCAGGGTGAACTTCCAGCAAGCACCCTTTTTACTCCTTTTCACAACAGTCTGCCTTTTCTAAAGAAACATTTTATAAAGTTAATGTTTGCTTCATAAACTCAGTCCTGTTATAAAAATGAATAAACGCATTATGAAATGCACTACTGTAATTCTCTCTCAGTCATAATCAAATAGATTTGTTTGAATTTTTCTGTCAAGCTAAAATGCTCATCCACGTGTCTGCTAATAGTACGTCAAAAATAATGAATTAACATATTACTCCATATGCAAAAAACAACTCCGAGTGACATATTATATTCTTATTTAACATATCTGATATTTTGTTTACACGAATGATCAAATAAAATACATTTAACCATAAAGACCGGTCTCCGGTAGACACGTACCGGTGCCATCTTGGTGAGGTTGGGTTGAAAGAGGAAGTGATGTATGTCCGCGCGAGGGTTCACGGAAATTTCTCGTATTTGATTGGCTGCTGGTTGGCGAGGATTCAGCGACGTCCGATTTGTGAACGACTCGATGTGTGACTCAAGGACCGCTCAGAGTGACAACGTTAGTTCAGTCCAAATCTTTCAGAACGGTTGTGAAGCGGTTCAGCCTATGGGTTTTGTTGTCAAGATATATTAGGAAGGCTGGGTTCAACTAATTATTAATTCAAAAGATCTGACTCTAAAGAACCGTTGATATCTGATAGTAAAAGCATTTGTGAACCGAAGATTTTTACTTTATTAGCACATTTAATACCACCCTGGGGGAAGTGCAAGTCTGAGGTAAAATAATCGTGTTTGTTCTGGGAACAGGTTCTTTAAACCGACCTGTTCGAAAGAAAGAGTTGTTCGATTTGCATGTATTGTAAAGAATTAATGTTTCTCCAATATCTTAAAATTAGATTAGATACGTAATTGTATAGAAATTTAAACCTTTTTTTAATAATATAATTCTGTTTCAGCAAGTAATTACACCCGAGTATGCAATGTTATGCATTCCACACCCATATGGCCTTTGTCTCACTTAGTTACCATTTAATCGACTTGATGATTATTTTGTGCAATCTCTTAATAGTGATTATACACATCTACAACATAGCTCTATAATCATTAATGTAGTCGGATGTAGCGGACAATCCCATTTAACCTACAATAAACACTTCGTTTTGGTGATTTCTATTGTTAAACATTCACATGTATACTCGATCAGTAGAGTTGGAAGGCAGAGACTGGGCTCTGCATTCCTGCTAAGAAATCATGACTCATCCTTGCATCATTATTGTGCAGACATACCAAGAGAAGCTTGGGTGAGGCCTCAGCAGGCACATAGGCACAACCCGATTTGCCAGTTATTGGGCAGATTTCTAATCTTGAACAAATTTAAATAGGCACATGAAGATTTCTGTTTGCTTGGTTAAATTTTTAATGTCACTCAGCTACACAACAGCAAAATTAGATATTAAATCATCTGAAAAATTCATGTAAAGATGTGATTCAACATAATAGATTTGCTTTAGAGAACGTGCTCACTGGGAGCCACTTGCTAGATGAAGTTTGTGTGTTTGAATATACTGCAATGCCACAGGCCTCCAAGACTGAAGTGCAACACTTTCATTGAGTCACTGTTGTCTGGGCACCCGGCCACAAAGGGGAAATGAGTATTTGGCTCCACCCATGCAGAGGATTTGGCAGCCCAACCCAACAAAGTTGTCTTTCTTTCCCAGTTACTGTCCTCACTTTCTAAAATTAAGTCCCATGTCATTTTGCCCATTTATTCTTAAACCTTAAATTTGACATTTAAAACCATTCAATAGACAATAAAGAAACTTATTTTTATACACCTAATATATACACATGAATATATCATTTTACTTCATTTGAGAAGATAAACACTGCATGTTGTGCTACTGAACACTTAGGTGATGTACCTAAGGTCATACTTCAAAACAAACACTTTCTGATTCAAGTATAATATCTGTACCTTAGTAAATGAAGTTATCCCAAATGACCAGACAGGTTAGACTAAGTAACTTTTAAACACAAGGATATTCATTCTCCAAAGACAGAGATAAATAAAAATAGCTCACATGTTAAATATTACCAGATGAAAAATCCACTGTAAATATGAAGCAACACCTTAACCAGCATTTGGGAACTTCTTTCAATACTGATGAAGTGCTTCATAAAAAAAAAAGAAAAAAGGTAATCTATTAGGTTTTTTTTTTTTGCTCTCTCCAGTCAGGTGACAAAGGCCTCGAGTGAACAAAGGAAGATTAGAACTCGCATCAAAGATTCAGTCCTTAAGAGCCTGAGCTCATTCTGGGGCAGCACTGATAAGAGTCTACCTGGAGACAAATACAGGCTTCAACACTTTATTTAATGTCGTCACTGACAGCCAAAATCAAGCTGGCTGCTATTTTGGGTTACAGAGATATTCGCACATGGCCATCACATCCTTTCCACTTCTGAACAATTAGAGACTGTCATTTATGAGAACATTTCACTGGAGTTTATTTCTCAGTCACAGCGGTTTTTACTTGAGAAGGTACTCGAAGTACTGCAAGAACAAGGAGGTGCCAACTACCAGTGTGCAGCTCACTTTGGGGGGGGGGGGGGGGGGGGGGGGGGGGGGGGCGATGGCATTCAATTGAGATAAATTAACCACAGTGCCAGCATGGCATAGATCATGTAAGGAGAAAAGTAAAAGTATGGCTACCAAAGAGGGAGAGAAAAAAAAGTTCAGTGTCAGTTGGGGTTTCCTCTCTTCACAACAAGTTGCATAAATCCTGCACACTAGTTACTATTAAGAAATTCAAGAATACTAAAACGGAAAATGGATCCGATTTTTTAACATTCAGGAATGCAAGTGGTAAAACCTTGAGAGAAGAAGAAAAAAAAAAAAAAAAAAAGTGAAATGGGGGAGGTCGAGGGGTAAACGCTGCCAATAATAAACTTCTTACCCTAAAGAATGCCAACTGACCCGACAAGTCCAGCACAGTATCGGAAGAAAAAAAGGAATACAAATCACAACAAAAATGTGAGGTTGCTTGTGAAGGCCATAGCTTTGGTGACAAATAAAACCAAAGAAACAAATGCAAGAGATTTGTTAAAGTGTAGCATGTTGCAGCCTGAGCAGCCCAGTCTTTCTTCCTATTTGGTCATGGGTTTGACAGCCACTGCAGATTCTTCGCCCATAGCTGAAAGCACAGTAACCTGTGAAACAGAAAACAATGAGTGGTTTACATTGACAAGAAGCAGGCAAAAAATCTAAATGCATTCGTTCAAACAGGTGCACTTACCAACATCTCTTCACCAGCTGCAAACTTGGTTTCGATTTCTTTGCCCAGGTCACCGTCTGGCACACGCAGGTCCTCGCGCACATCACCGTTGTCCATCATAAGAGAGAGGAATCCCTCACTGATGTCAACCAGCTAGGAAAACACAAAAACTTCTTTTAAAAGGGAAGAAATGGTTTTGCAGAAGAATATCTAGACTTCAAACAAAAGCTACACCATTGCTGTGTCTGTGTTTTGTTGGAAGAGATTCACCTCAGGCAAACCAATTTAAGACGAAATTACTCAAGTGTAAGAAAAGCAGCACTGAACCAATGTTCTAAAAAGGAAATAAAAAAAACTAGAAAAATACTAACAATCTCAGTTTGGGACACTAACATATTAAAGGGATAGTTCACCGAAAAATGAAAATTCTGTCATTTACTCAGCCTTAAGTTGTTCCAAACCTGTATACATTTCTTCTGCTGAACACACAAAAGGATATTTTGAAGAATGATAGTAACGAAACAGTTGTGGGAAACAATTGACTTCCACAGTTTTTTTTTTTTCCTACTATGGAAGTCATCGGAGCCCATTAACAGTTTGGTTACCCATATTCTTTAAAATATCTTTTGTTCATTTTTGGGTGAACTATCCCTTTAAGAGCTCAATAAGTCTTATAAATTTGCTCCACATGCAATGCAAAACATGGCAATAATTTCACTACACCAATAACTAGCAGGTTAAATTTTCCAACTAGTTAAAGACCAGTGTTCAATGCAATCAGGCACAAATCAATAACAAAAGGATGGTGACATTTGAATTCTAGATAAACTGACAAGTTACTACGGTGGAAATTGTAAAGTGCTTGCCTTTATTGCACACAGCTTGGGCTACAGGGTCAGCAGAACTTTAATTGAAATAACACAACACAAGTCACATGTACTCCCACAAACCACACACAAAAAAAGTGCATTTTCACCATTCAATCTTGAATTTCACAAAGCCATGCATGTCTCACCTGGTAGTCATTTCTTTTGGTGTTAGGCACATCCATGTTGTGGGTGGAGGGGCAGATATCTTCATACTTCTTATTTGTGAAAATGTCAATTCCAACCATGTGAACCTGTAAATAGAAACTCGAATGATTAATGCTAACATCCAAAGGTTAAAAACAGCCATGCAAAAGAGTGATATTCAAATATTACCTTTGCATGACCATGCTTGCCAGTCTTAGAAGTAGACATTTCAACAATTTTGCAGGGGCGACCCTTCAGGACCACGAACCCGTTCTTGCGCAGGGCACTGCACTGCATGGGGTAGGTGACAGAAGCCCCGGCATCTCCGCTGGTGAAATCAAGATCTGGATCTGCCATGATGGGGATCTAAACAAGGGGCACTGGTGGGAATAAAGGACATGGGGAAATTATTATATTATAACCTTAAAAAGCCTCAATCACACAAAATAACATCATAGATGAGTCACATACGAATGAGCCAGGTTTCCACTGTATGAGTTGGCAAGTCATACATTAGGACTGCCTTACAACTTTAATAGCTGAAGATAAAGTACAGTTTTCAATTAACCATTCCCAAATGTTATGCAGCTATTTTATATCGAATTGCAAATAAATCGACCTTTTGTTATTAGCACTCAAACCTGCAGCATCATGCTGCTCTGATTTCACCCCTTATATAGAATCCAAGCCAAATAAACGACCAAACTTGGTTCAACTTCAGCGAACAGTTGTTTGTATTTACAAACGTGTCGTTAAAATACTTAACGAACCACATTTGACACTTGACGGTCGTTGTTTTGCACGCAATTAACACAATGACCACGCCGAACAGGCCAGATGGACTAGAAGGCAATACATGCTAGCTAGCTTAAATTGTAACGCTTTCACCATAAAGACTCGCTAAAAAGAATCAAGAGTGTAACTCGTTAATCCAACGTCATCGATTACAGAAAAGCGAACGGTTAACCGTATGTCTGATTCGCGTGGCGCATGTCAACGTGGTTTCGCCGCTGATCAATGACTCGGCTAAGAGGCTAACGCCCCATTCTTCCCTATAACAAAGTAATAGAAACACACATACAAGGAACAACGACCACGACTGGTAAACTATAAGGTAACTAACAAAAGCGGGGGAAACAGGTCTTGTGCGGGTAAGCCAAAGTTTCTCACGGGTCTATTATTCAATTAAGTCAGTGCGCGCAAGGAAAGGCCTCGCGCGTGCTCGCGGCCTGCGAACTAGAGAGCCGCATCAAAGAACCGCCGTAACACGTTTACACAAGACGATCCGGTAACGTTCATCACCATGACGTAGACTTTCAAGTCCGACAGCTTTTAAAAGTAAACATTAAGACAGGAAAGTTCTGTGTAATTTTTCGTTCACAATTCAAACACGCTCCATGCAGCACTTACTTCCAAGAAAAAAAGGAACGTCAACGCGCAAGCGCGGCCAATTTTAATGCGGCATCCGTACAGTGGGCGGGATTCCACTTCTTCTGCAGAAATGAGGATGGATTGTGCCTGCAGCGTATGCTTAGTGCCGCTTAGCGCCTAGGATCTGTGGATGAACGTCATGAATGGTGCTACCTTCCATAAACCGCTTTGTCCATTTTTTTTACAGTCTATGATATAAACACACACTCGTTGGTATCATTATGAGGACGGGGACAATCCATAGGCGTAATGTTTTTTATATTCTACAAACTGTATAGCCCTAGGCCTATTCTATCCCCCTACACTAACCCTACTAAACCTACCCATCACAGAAAACCTTCTGCTTTTTAAATAAAACATTGTTTAGTATAGGCCTACGTTTTTTATGCCATTTCAATTACGAGGACACAGGAAATGTCCTCATAAACCACATTTACGCTGTAATACCAGTGTAATACCCATATTATTATACATATATAACAATACAATTCCAGCAAAAAAAGAATATCTATCTATCTATCTATCTATCTATCTATCTATCTATCTATCTATCTATCTATCTATCTATCTATCTATCTATCTATCTATCTATCTTATAGATAGATAGATAGATAGATAGATAGATAGACACACGTAGTTCAAAATCGCAGTTCTGGATGAATTTAGTGAATTCTGTCCTTTAAAGGAACGTCTTAAAGTCACCATAAAATCAAATTTGACCATCCAGTTTTTTAATGGAATATTGCAGTATTTATTACCATGGATTTGATAAGACACAAATAGGCTATGCATATTATTATTAATATCAAAAATATATAGTTTATTATTTAAAAAAAATTCAAACAGCACACATGGTCTGGTTTTAAGTGTCAATTTATTTAAAAAAAAAAAAAGGCAAAGAAAATGTCTGTTTTGGGTGACAAGTGAAAATCTGAAATATTTCCATTCATCCATTTCACATTCTCCTCATTCAGAAATGATTGACTCCATCTGAATAAGATTTTTAAAAAACTGGAGTTTCAGTCAAAGTAGAAAAGAGTCTTACATGAAGACTGACAAAATCAGTAATGATCATTATTGCTAACAGCTTTTCTAGACCGATTCTTCAACCTGCTTTGATATGCAGTCTTCTTCAGGTTTCTTCTTTAAACACTGAGTATTGATTAACAAGACTATAGATCCACAAACAACCCTATACTATTTAAACATATTTGCAGTTATCAGGGGTGCAATCTATTTAAAACGGAAAGGGCACTGAACAATACGGCATTAATAAAACAAACCAACAATTTATAATAAAAAAAAGTGTCAAAATTGTTGTAAAATAAAGCAGTCATATTAAAGCATCTCTGCCACTATAATAGATTTCATAGTTCTTAGACAAACTAATTCAGCTAAAGAAAACAATCCCTTTTAAAAAAAACGCAATACTGCTGCTGCTTTCTGAATACAAGATGCCAGCATTTAAGCACTGTACAAAACAATAAATAAATTGGATCAGAATATCAAGCAAAACTGGATTGCTAAAAGTTTTATGACCATAAAATACTCAGTTTAGAAGCTCTTTTGTCGGTTGAATGACACGAAGGAGATTTTGGTGACTTTGTTTGATTTACACCATGTAATAAATTGTAAGCAATAAAATATAACTCACTACTAGGAACAGATTCGATGAGATCATCTCTTAAAAGTCCAGGCTACATTTAAAGTTACATTTGGAACAAAACTCCAGTTTAATAGCCTTAACAATCTATTTATAAAATATTACAGCCTGCTTATTTTGTGAACAAAACATGATATGCCCAGTTTCAGCTTCAAATGTCTATAACAGAAGGCTTGTAATCTTGAAATCTCACTATTTCTCATTTTAGTGTCAGTATGCCTGTGTTACGTCTTTAATTGGTGTTTTTACAGGCTTAAAACAAACCCCATAAAAACGGCATGTTTAAATCAAACACACACTCACTCAATCACACATCAATATGGAGGAACCATAAAAATAACAGCCAATATCCAGAATGCTCGGTTGTGCTATAAATCTCAGAGTTTAATACACGCAAAAAATGAAGAGAAATACAGAAATAAAACAACTCGCTCAGCCCGAATATAAAGGATGTACTTACAGTATTAATGTCCATATTAAGAAAGAAAATGAGGTCAAGCACACATCAAAAGACTTTCCACACTGAAGGTGGTGCGTGAGAGAGGATGAAGAAATCAACCGACCTCACAGTTTACATTTGTGTTGATAAAATGGATGGGAAGAAGAACCCATAAGTACTTCAAACCTGCGCACACATCCACTCAGTTCACAGTTTGATGGATAAAAAACATGAAGTCTCAAAAGATCCTAGCTGTGTCAAATGAATTTCACACTCTATTGCCCTTACAGAACAGTAATGCAAATGTATAAAAGTACATAAAGGACTTGATGATTCCATTTGAATAAAATGCCATGTCGTTTGGAAGGACTTCAAGTCTATTAATGGGCGATTCTGCAATTAGAGGCATTTTCAAGTACACAAAATCATCATAAAATTCTTTAAATGGCTCCATACAATATTTATGATATTTTCCCATAACTTTCAAGTAGAAATAACGTGACAAAATTCAGGTAATGACACCTAATAATCTGATGGTGGTAATGACCAGTATTGGAGGAAAAAAAAAGAAAACTGTACAAATAATCCAAATTAACTAAATATATCATTAGGATTAAATAACAGACAAAATAAAAAGAAAAAAAAATAGTGTCACCCTAGGCTACTGAAAATGTCCCTAATTGAAGAATCACCCTAATATGAAGTGTAGGCTTGATTTGGCTGTTGCACGAGACATTGCACCATGATTTTTTTATTTTTTTCTGAAAATTTCTGTCTGGCGCTCTACACTTAAATCACCTCTGAATCTACATGTATTGACAACATAGGCTTCTTTAACATTAGTTAATTTACAACATACTTAATCGCCAATTAAAAATACCTATTTTAATTGAATGAACTTGAAAATTCACTGATCTACTGGTTGCATTTCAAAAAGACAATTCCCCCCAGAGAATAAATACTTGCCTCTTCAAACTACGATCATGAATATTGCCTCGCATTGTCACTCACAAAGTTTCATTTACGGCATCAATAGTCATTACCCACAATGAAATCTGAACCGATCCAACAGGTGAACAGAAACGAGGTAGCCTAAAAGGAAGCTCTGTAAAACACTACCCTTCGTTCACCGATTTACAGTATGTGATTCACACAGAGGACACGATGGATCGTACAGAACCACATACAGCATCACACGTTCCCTCACAGTTCATATGCATTCGTTTCCGGAGGCGGGACTCTTTTCCAAAAAGGAAGTGGATATTTACAGAGGGTGGTAGTGAAAGTCCCTCTAGAAACAGTTGGAGATTATAGATCCATCTTGAGGAAAGGCGAGCAATTGACTCACCAGGCTCGATTCCCTTGGCCTTTATTGCACTTTGCTGAAAGTCATGAGAAAACAAACTTAAAAATACAAAACTGCAGCACATTCTTATCCTAATGACACGTGGAGGTGTGTTACTCCTGATACGAAAACCATTTGAGATTGCTGGTATGTTAATGCTAACATATCTACCTTTTTTGTATTGTTGGTGGAAAGCATTACATTTCATCATTCATTCACATGTACAAACACACACCCTTACATCGCAACTTTCATACTCTAACAGAATCTTAATGTACTTTTTTATGTTTCAATACAAAGCTCTGTAGTATTTACCAATCAGTTGAAGGATTCAGACTGATGTTAAAGCGTTTAAGAATGGTCTCTGCTGATCAGTTTCATCCTTAAATCAAATCTGGAAATTTGTTGTCCAAAAGAAATAGTTTCATTTACTCACCCTATTGTCTTTCAAAACTCGTTTGACTTTTGTGTCATAATGTCCAGGCTGTTCTTTTCCATACAATGTAAGTGAAAAGTGACCAGGGATGTCAAGGAAGATGTTCATGATTCATTAGTGAACGATGACTTACATTTGAGCCCGTTCCTCACAGAAAAGATTATATGGCTTCACAAACTAGAAATATAGTGCACAAGCTGTATGTACTACTATGATGCTTTTTTGTCCATTTTAGATCTTGGCAGCATTTGGTCATTTTAATTATATGGAAGAGAGCAGCTTGGACATTGTGCTAAATGTCTCTTTTTGTGTGTGACTGAATGATTCAGTGATAGTTTTGTATTGACATGAGGGTGAGTAAACGAGAATAGAATTTGAATTTTAGGGTGAACTGTCCCTTTAACCCACAATACCCATAATGTGCATGGATAAGTTGCAGAGACGATTGAAATAAACGGAAAAAGGTCCTGAATTACAGCACAGTCTCCCCGAACACAAGGAAAACAGAACACAAGGTCTCCAAATGTGATGTGAATACTATAGAGCTTTGGCATAAAACAAGGAATGCACAGTATTAATATTCAGGATCATTTATATTTTCATTATATGTCCATATCAGCAGGCATCAATTTCCATCCAAAAAATTAGCATGTTCCCTTTTCATTGCAGAAAAATGCATACACATCAATATATTATGGACTTAAAAATAAAAACGAGCAGCTTTGCAAATTCATTTTTAAGGCATTCTGTGGACAGCCCGAAGTGTGTCTGCTCCAACATAATGTGGTATTTCATAAAGTATCATACAAGTCTTAAATATCAGTTTCAATTCACACATTAGAGTGATTTCCACATGACACAAACATCTGTGTGCATTCCAAGCTGAAACATAAAAAAGAAAAAGGGTTGATCACACAAACCAGGCTCAATGGATTCATCCCGCAAGGGAGGTTTACCGACGTTCAGCGCAACCGTGATAAATTATTGTGTCAAAAAGTGTCTTAACAAATATTCACTCTACTCTGTGGGTTGGATTTCCCATATTTCCAGTCTTCACGTCCAGAAGAATCTAGATACATATTTATAAGGACAAAAACATCAGAACCCCACAAATGTTAATGAAAGGGCCATATAAAACAATGCAGACCGGTTGTGCTCCTCTGCCACCCTTTGTTGTTCGTTGGGGCGTTTGGATTTTGGGTTTGTCTTTGACTCTTCTGAGAA